AGCATGCTTTCGAGCAAGGGCATGATCCGGACATGCATCAAATGCGAGGATTTCGCAACGGTGGAGTTTATGGCTTTGGTCGCGGTGCACCATGCATGCCAACCCGCCCAGGGCAAGTTGAAAGTGTGCCTGGGCGTCGCCCTCGTCGGCGAGGATGTTGAGTCGCAGAAGATTGTTGAATCCTTCATAATTCGTGCTTTGCCAGCAAGATTGCTTCGTGCTCGGAGACCAGAGGAAGGACTCCCGGCGACCGTTCACCATAACAGACTTTCTGATCTCATCATTGCGAGCGGGGCGAAGAGGAACAGCAGGCTTGCTGTCGCTCAGACGAAACTTGATGAAGGTATGCAATGAATGGTTCAGAGCCAGCAGCTTCATCCTGGTGGTGATCTTCTCTGTCGGGCACAGCTGCTTTTCCTTCGTGGATGCACATCCAGCTTTTCGCTTCAGTTCCTGCAAAGGGGCCTCCAACTGCAATGCATCCAGTTTCTGCATGTTTTGCTCAGGCGTGGTGTCGGCTGTAAATTTCAGCTGCGGCATCAACGACAGCGGCGAGCACACCATAAGCCCGTCGCAGGAGACGAAGATGTTCAAGACCTGGTGACACCCTAGGCCCATGTATCCGTGAAGACACCCCGTTCTCTAACCCCATCATTCCCCACCTCGTGTGTGGCAATCTTGGAGCCGTCCTCGAAAATGCTTATGTGACGATACTCCTGCTTGCCGAGACGGCGGAGCAAGGCATCTGCAGCGGATGCAAAGTAGGCGGTAACCCACTGGTTTGCAGCTACCGATCCAGCATTCTTGTCCTTCGTACCAATCACGGGCGTCTCGGACAACTTCAAATCCTCGTTTTTGCCATTGTTCAGTCCAGAGACGAAACCGGCACCTCGCTGAAGAAAACGCTTCAGAAGTTCTTGACGGGCAAGGTTGGCGTTGCTGCTTCTCGTACCGGCCGTCCACGGCGTCTCGCAGCCAGCTTCGTCTGCCTGCTTAGGCGGTGTCTGTCTCAGACAGACCTTGCCACCGGCGAAGGTTTCCTCAACGGCTTGACTGACAATGTGCACCATCCTTTTCTGGATGCGGGAGACCGGCAGAGTCTCAAAACCATCCCCATCCGACGGAAGTCGCATGAAGAACCAGATCACGTCCGGCACGGGCACCATGCCCTCAAAGTTGTGGCGGGAGGCTTCCAAGCAAGCAGACTTCTGGAACCTCAACATGAGCTCAGGTCTAACAGAAACATGAGCATGACCTGCAGTCAAACTAAGATGCTCAACGTCTAGAAGATGTGAAATCGAGGCACCTGCTCTTCAATGCTTGTCGATCTGCTGCAGAACATCTTCTGAGGAGTTTTTTCAGACTCACCTGCCCAGATTCAATCTTCAGAGGCACCTCCGGAAGGATGACAAGTCTCTCCGGCAGGCCAGTAATGCGAAGAATTCTCCGGAGAAGATCGAGACAACTCTTTTGAGCCTCCAAAGCCATCCCCCGCACCTGTGCCTGAAGGCCCAGAACGAGCAAGAGACCTAATGTCGAGCAGACATCGTTCCTGACTCCAGGCCACGTGAGAACTTCTTGGTCCCCACGGTACGTCTCGGATCGGACGATTTGCTTGGAAATGCCCCATGAGGATTCAAGCTCAGCCATGGTCCCCAGCCTCATCTGCTTGCTGTGCCACATGTGGAAGCTGGTGGCGAGATGGAGGTGCTGCCACACCTCACGAAGATTCCACAGGTACGTGTAGCCAGCCATGTTGTACTTCGGCGTCGGGGTGATCTGCCAAGAAATTGTTCACTCACGGCAGAACACATTGACATGACACGACACAAGATAAACACTGCCTTGTGCAAAGTGAAGGTCGACGGGTCCAAGCGAACGAAAACCAATGTGAAGGAGACGTGGGCAGGGTCGCCAACGTTCGAAACCACTTTCTGGATCTCTTGCTCTAGAAGGGATGGAGAATATTCCATATCCAGCATGGCCGGGCACACGGGAAACGGACACAGAGGCCGGATCTCATCCAGAGCAGCAGTCAAAAGACTCGACGTCAGGAGTCGCCCGCCGAGCGATGGCAGCGGGGTCTTCTGCGAAATCGCTTTGATGAAAGCCAGGATGGCACGATTCATTTGCTCTTCATCCTGGAGGCGACTCTTCAATAACTTGACGATTGCAGCCTGACATCGGCTCAAGGAGAAGAGACCAAAATGAGCAAAAAATTGCAACTCGGAGGATTGTTCTTGCAGCCCGGATGCTCTATCGGCTTCTCCCTCGTCCGACATGCTGCAGCGAAAGATTATGAGAGAAACACTAAAGTTCACGAAATGAAACTATTGTGCTGTCGGTGAGATGATGTCCACTCCATTGTGATTGTGACCACGGAACTGGGATAAATGACTCATGTTCCTGGTGGCTGGCAATGTTGACCTGGGCCTACACCGGACATGCCGCTACCTTTCAAGGGCTGGCCTGCACTCCCGCATGGCATTCGAAGGCACAGTCACACCACCAACCAAAGACGGCATGCGACTGACTCCTTGCACAGGGCCCCGGACCAAAACGAAGCCGGAGAAGCTCTCCACCTGGACAGCACGAAACCGTACGGCACTGCCACACGTTGCATCCCAGCTCGGGTTTCTTGACACGTGGCACCATTTATCCTTTCCCCTGCATTCGTTCTTGGATGGTTTCTGTGCGGCTTAATTAATGATGCTGGGTGCTGCCAGGTTTCGCCCCGAAATCAACCCCCAGCTTGCCAAGAGTTGCTGCTGTTGGCTGCGATTCCGTGTTGCTTGGCACAAGTGCTCCCCTCCCAACACCCGACAAGAAGGCCTCGGTGGCACCGGCATCGGCAAGTTCGACTTCTAACCCCAAAAGCCCTAGACGTAAAACCCGAAAACCCCAAAACCCTCGAAACCTTTATCTAATCTTAGAACCAAAACCGCGAAACCCCAAACCCCAAAACCCGAAAACCCTGACACCTTAAACCCCCCAACAAAAGACTCTAAACCCCCAGCTTTCACCCGAGTCCGGAACACTCGATCCTGCATCGCTGCCAAAGCCGTGACTGCAGGTCCTGGGCAACAACAAGGAGGTTTACGGTTTAAGCATAGGACTGGGATTCAGGGATTGGGGCTTCGGATTTAGGCAGAGATCAACGGACAACATCGGAGAGCCAGTGCATTGTCGCCTGCATCTAGACTTTGAACACCCCACATGAGACTGGCAGCATCATTCGAAAGAGCAAGTTGCATGCTGCACACCTCGATCCTGCTGCCATGCTGTGTTCGCGAGTGCTCAAACGATGGCTGTAGCACGGCACACTGAGGCGTCGGCCCCGACATTTCATCTGGGAAATCTCTGCCTCGTTTTTATGTGCGGACAAGAATGACTTGATGTCAACACCGGCGACATGTATGTTCCTTGTGTACGACCTGAAACCGATACTGATGCAATGCCCGTCGTCCTGGCTACATGATCAGCCCCCAGAGAAAGAATCAGCAATGCTTCATGGTCTGAGCGGGCCGCTCGTGCCATGACTTGGGCCAGCAATGGTCCTGGCAACATCCGAGCCTTAGAGCAGGAAGGAGGGCACAGGTCAGCATGAAATGGAGGTGGTACATGTCGTTCTGTGGCTGCACATGCATCAGCCTACCGCGGTGCCCCTAGTATGGTTGTGCAGAAATTGTCCTTGAGCCTACCGAAACACCCTGACGGTCTTGCGATTCTGCAGGTGCCCGGCACTGAGGCGTCGGCCCACGAAATCTGGGGTTGAAGATCCCCTGGAGCACGGAATGATTCACAGTAGTGAGGATCACAGCCCAAGTGCAACGATCCTCCTGCTCCAAAACCGACCCAAGCCCACATGCACTTGTCTTGCTTCGTCAGTGTGGCTACTGTTGTGTCGGCAAACTCGGCATACCCCAGAATTGAAAAAGGCACTGCAGAGGTCCTATGACGATAGAGAGTGCTGTGTTGGCCCACACAGGCACGAAATGGAATTCAATGCTGACTGCAACCCTCAGATCCCAACTGACAACCTCACACCAGCTGCCACTTGACAGGGCACCAAGGTGCGAGCATAGATCCACGGAGGCGTGGCAGCAGAGAGCTCTGCTGGACCTGGGCACAGGCCGGAGGCCACAACGTTCTGCAAACCGCAAAGTTAATAGGACGGCATCACGTTCCATGGTTGCAGCGAAACAGTGGGCACAACCTCTCAAAATCTGCGGCTCCATGCAAGACGACACAGAAGTCTAAGAATCCAGAGGGTCCGGCTGCAAGGTCGTGCAGCAAGCTGAGCATGAAACAGAAACAGCAATCCAGCCCAGCGGAGTCGCACACCTCGGAAAAATTTTATAATCTTAATAATTCCGAGCCAGCTAGCTAATGCGGAGACAGCTAGCATAGCGTTTCTGTGATACATTCGAAAAAACAACCATGCTAGCCAGCTCAGGGTTTGCTAGCTTTCTCGGCGTTTGCATGTTTTCTGAGTTTTGCGGAGCCAGCTAGTTGATGCGGAGACAGCTAGTTCATGCGGAGCGAGCTAGTTGACACGGAGCCAGCTAGCAATCTTTTTTTCCTCTGAGCCCCCATCTGGAACGTCTGAGCTTCGCTGCACTGATGGACACAGTGACCATTCGCGGACCCCCGACAAAGGATCGACTAGATCATAGCTTCCAGCACATCTCGGTAGGTCGCCTGGACAAAAAGCAGACAGAATTGGTTCTCAGGATGCAGGTGTCCGTTTTTGTCCAGCCAGACGACCCGGCCTTGTTTTCCAGGATGCTCTTCATGCACTGGGAACACTGCATCTTCAGCGTGAAGGATAGAAGGCTGAAGGCTTGCTTCCCACCCTCGCTGGATGTGAAGAAGCGGGCGAAGTTGCCGGAGCCACTCTCCTCCCAAGCATCGAGGGCGGCAAGCAAGGTCTGCGGGGTGTTGCAGCCCATGGCCAGTAGCAGCCCAAAGAAGCTTTCGGCATCCTGCGGACGAAAGGATGAGTATCCACCGATGAAACAAGTCTTTTAAGATCGTGTGCAACTATGCAAAAAAATCCTTCTCGCGGGTGAGAAATTGATCGGTAACCACCGCCAGCATCTCTTTGAGCTCGTCCGAGATGCCATGCTCCACGATGGCATTCTCAGCAGGCTTCTTCTCGTTCTCGATGGCCAGCGGCGGCTG